GCCATGGATCACAATTGATCTGTACGGCCAGCGAAGTAGGTAAGTAAGTAGGTAAGATCAGTTAAAAAATTGTTAAATTCTCATCTCTTCACAAACTCGTAATTGAAAATTTTTGAGATAGGAATTGCCAGAAATTCGAACCTTTTCGATGAACGTATCTAACAACTCTCATAATTTACCTTTTAAAGCAGTTCATTAAATTATTGAATCAAAAATATTTCCATTTTTATCATAAAATCCATAAAATCATAAAAAAAAATCAACAAAAAGTCTTTCGCCATTTATTTGGTTACTTCTAAAGAGCACTATTGATTTAATAACATTATTTATTCAAACATTTGCCAAAGTATTTATTCCCAATGATTTCCCATCTCGAGAATTTTCAAATTTTAATGAGCATCGTTTTTGATGAATAACTCAATTTCATTTCTAATTACAAACAATAATGAAGTTTATTTTCAAATTAATTTCAATCTTTTGTTTTTCCATAAATTTTCTTCTTCCTCCTTTCTCATTCGTTTCTTTTCTTCCGCATGAAAAGCCATACAATAAATTCAATGAAAAAGTACTTAAATCCTGAAACAGCATTAAGTAGTAAAATTTTCATGCCCCAATACTTCTCGTAACACAATAATAATTCGTAGAGGTTTTATTTACGATATTATTGAAGGTGTATAACAGTAAATAAAAAGCTTATTAATATTTACAGCTAGCAGTGCGTACGAGGGTGTTTTAAATTAAACTTTTTCGCTTGATAGCATTTTGCGTATTCAAATAAATGTTTGGGGGAAACGCTATTGTGAGAGAAAATTTGGTAGAGAATAAGAGAATTTTTGTTAAGGAAACCTAGAAAGATATAACATATTCATACTTCTAGTGTTGTTATCTGTGATATATGATTGCTATTTCCCGAAAAGCACAAGTCGGTTAATTGAATAGAAATCCAGCGCAAAGCTAGCATGACTCTGGCATGGTGCTGGCTTCGATTTATGATCGATTAACCGACTTTTGCCATTCGGGTTTGGCTCAGAAAAAAGGTAGAATATGTGGCTACTCATGTCAGCTTTGCTGAACCAACTTTGCTCCAAAAGTGCGGAACTGCTAAATTATATTTTGATCATTTTTGATCATATCATCAGTTCAACTTACTTACTTATTTCGGTGGTCGTACAGATCAATTGTAATCCATGACCTCCCTTAGTTGACGCCTATAACTAGCTCTATCGCTGCATACCGTCTGGCAATTTCCAATATCAAGGACTACACTGTCTCTATCAACAGCTTCCTTCCACGTGATCTCTTGCCATCTCCGAAGTCAGATTTAAGACCTTATTTAATGGAGCTTCCAGTTCCAAACTTTTGCTTATCACTTGATTCATTCAAATGCGATTTTGCTTGAGATTTTGGCTGTTACAATAGGAAAATATTTTTTTTGCAACCCTTCTTAAACTTTTAATGCATTTTTTAAAACCGATGAAGATTTCTTATTTCATTTTGTGCATTTAACGTCCTCACGTAAGCTATATATTTGAAAGTATTGTCTATTGCTTCTAAGATTATTTTCTATTAAAGTTTGGTTATGGTGGATTGGGAATCCAGAAGAATGACCATGGAAAACAAAGCTTCTTGAAATAACAGTTCAAAAAGATATCATCAAGGAGATACAGATGAGGAAGTACGGTTTGATTGAACACACACTTCGTAAGAGAAATGTTAGAGAGAATGCTGGGACAGAAACATAAGTTTCTTACACTGTCCTTGGTTGGAATCTTCAAGGGAAAAGACATCAAGGAGCTTCAAAAGTTACTCGTCGCAGAACAGTGATGAAAGCATGTCAGTTAAATGTGCGGACAGAGAAGTTGTACAAACTAGATGCTAAAGCCAGTAACAGAGTCAGATCAAAAGTCTTTTGTTATAACCTAAGCTCCACATAGGAACATATTTACAGTAAGTAAGTAAAATATTTAACGTGGATTTTTTGACATTTAAAAAAGAAAAATATTAAGGATGCCATAAGTGTACCAATATTAATCCAAGATAATTCCAGCAAAATTTAATTTGAATATTTCACAAAATTGATTCGTAAGATTAAGTTGAACAGGCTTCAAATTAAAATAATTCACTGAAAGCCATTAAAATTCAAGCAGCGGCTCAATTTTTTTTTTCTAGAAACTACTTCGAATCACTCCAAATGCATTAAAATCTATTTATATATGCGGAAACTTTTTTTTCCTAATCTCCTCGGTTTGTCTCGCGCTCTTTATTTACATTAGAAATGTGAGAATGTCAACAATATTCAAATAGGTCTATAATGTCTATGCATTTATGCGTCTAAATCTATTTGGTCTAGAAAATAGTGAAGATAAAAATGTATTTTCTAGTAGATACAAAGTGTCAATTGCATGTAATTGGCACACAATTGTTTACAATAATCCATCAAAATAAGTCTAAAAATAAGGAAAGGAATAAAACAGAAGCAATTCAAGATTAATGTCAGTTTGTGAAGTGAGAAGTAAATTTTCATTTCTTTTCTTCTTTTCATCGAAACCGTTAAAAGCGTGCCTCATTCGAATTTAAAATCATGTCAATATTTTTTAATATTTTATCACATTTAATCGGTTTTCTCATTTTACGTACATCTAAGGTCAAATATTTTATTTTGTGTGATATTAAAGTCTGTGTCCTCATATTTACCGTGGAAAATTCTATAATCAATTCTATACTCCCGTACAATTTTATTTAAACAAATGTCATCAGACTAAACACACTTAGATCTTCTCATTAATCACATCTCCTCGGTTCATTATTCTTTAGAGACATGACAAAGAGTTTGACAACATTTTTTATTAATAGATGTCCATATCTCCTTTTTCATTTTATTTCTCTTCTCATGGACAGTCTCACAGGTGTTTTTGGAATCAAGGTGGAATTGAATTTTGTCTGTCCCAATAATCTCAATTGAGAATTTATTATATAAAGGTCTCGTCTGTGGATAAATTTCCCTTTCAACTGATGGATCATAACTCTTGAATGTTTAATTGAGGTAAGACAATATTTAATCTTGAAAAAGCAATTTTGAAGTTTAAGGACAAGAGAAAAGTTTTCTTTTTTTTTGGGTTTCTTTAAAGATTTCAAGCACCCAAAAAGTCGATTGAAATCCGTAAAGTTATGCAAAAATTTGTATTTATCTTGAATTCCTTTTGACAAATTCCACGTGATATTTTTTTATTCACATTTGATAGTACTGAATAAGAATAATATATTGGTTGTGGCTAGGAAGTTGGCAACGGAACTTTTTTGTTTTGTTTTATTTTAATAAGATAACATGTCAGAAATTGTTTTTAAGAATTGACGGTTAAGCAAAATGTATAAGACTTTCGGAAGTTCTGGAATTTTGATAAATTTTTGTTTTCAGCATTTTAATGCACAGGACATGATAAAATGATGCGACTGAAGTGTAATTATTGATAACTACATGCTAAGTGTTGGTTACAATGCAGTATTTGGAGTTTGTAAAGAATTTAAGTCTTTTATTACCTTGGGAAACTTTGGGAAGCTTCCAGAAGTTTACAGAAGTTTCACAAAAAACTTCCAGAAGTTTCCTAAGTGCGTACGCCTTGGCAAAGTTGTTTAGTAGGATGAATAAGCTTTCTAAATGAACAAGTCCTTTAGGATTCGAACCTGGAGAAGTTTGAAGTTTAATTGACTAGCATTAGGTTTGGTTTTAACATGATTATTAAGGATTGACACTTTACCTTATTCAATACTAAGTTTATAAGTTGTTCTAAATTTACTAGATTATTAATTATTGGAAAGATGACTTATTCAAGTTTCAAAATTAAGAAAATGATTTATTGCTGAACTAATGAAGAATCAAAATTAATTTGATAGATTTTTAATGCATTGCCTACGAAAATAATTAAGGATACTTTTAATTGAATTAAACGATTGGAGTTCTTCTTCGTTTAATGACTTTTCTACTTTGTTCCTTCATAAAACAAAACTTTGAACACAAAAGGGAAATATTCTTCTCCCAAAATGAATATTTATGAATTTAATTAAATCATATTCAAATATAAAATAATATATTTGAACAATTAATATGTAAATCAAGTTATGTATGAAGCTATACAATAGTTCTAAGGTAAAATAATAATAATGATTGTGAACGAGTCTTCTTTGTTGTCATATTTCCATTCATTTTCAAAGAATTTTCTAATATAGAAAATATTTATGAGAATAGATATGAATAATTGCCAAGACACACATGTGTATGTGTATGGACACATTGTTCGTGCAGCAAAAATGACAACTATTCAATGTCTCTGTATCATAAATAAATAAAACTTTTATTTTATTAGAATATTGTGTTTCAAAAGCTTTATTTCATTAAAATAAAATGAAATTTTAGAAATTGCAGTTTGTGTTTTGAGCAATTTTGAGTTGAGATTAAATTTTTATAAATTCAATATTTTTTTAACCGAAAACCTAGAATATTAAAAAACTTTTTTAAGCTTTGCTTTAAATTTTCTAGATGAACTCAATTATTTTTAAGATACAAGCTTTAAATATCTATCAAAACTTGAAATTTTCACACCGGACAAAACAAAATCTTTATTTCGTAGCGGCTTCACACATTTTCAACAACCTCTTCTTTAAAATCTTATAAAAAAATTAGCAAATTTGGATCTTTTGAATTTTTTTCCTTTTTCTATCAACTTATAGCAATTGTTTGATAACGATCAACAATACTTGAATAAAATTCCTAATTCCCATTGACATTCTATAATTCTCCTGACATTTTCGAACGCCCAATGTTATCCAATTTGCCTACGCTAAAGGAAATATTTTTTTATGAACTAAACTACCCACCAATGCTGCTTTAAAATTATCATCAATGTTTTCCTATTGCTTCCTCACCATTAAAAACATATACTTTATGTTTACACACATATACTTAAATAGAAAATTCTTACTTTATTTTGATTATATTTCGTGCATACACAACAAGTAAAAAAAATATAAACTCAATCAATCCTGCATTTTATCATCAGTTGCTGCTCGTACGCGTTAGACTGTAAGCGTTTGGGCATCGCATTAATAATTGAAGACATTCAATTACCTCAAGTTTAAGGTAAGCAAAAAAAGGTTCGAACTGATTTACATTTTTTTTCTACTCTCGGCTACCTCTTCTTGCCCATTTAGTAAAAAGCAATGCCTTCAAGATATTTTATTGTGTTAATTACTATAATGAGTTTGAAGGACCTTGTAGATTTTTTTTTTTCGTGCATATTTCAATGGAGAAAAGGGATTGCTAAGGTAAAATGAGGGTGTCAGTGAAGAAGACAAAGGATAAGTTAATAAAATTCTAAAGAGCCGGATAATTGACATTGAAAAATCATTGTATAACCGGGTGAATTGTGTTAGTATTGCGGCTAACGGCTGTTTTATGTTCACTTACACTTACTTTCTACATGTGCTTTAAGTACAAATATTATTAATGTTTTGTGAATGTAGAATGTTGTTATCTCTATACATTTATAGGTTTTTACCTTAAATGGATCATACGTATAATGATTAATGCATGGATAGACTTGTTTTGACAACACACGCGAATTTTTTTTAGATCAAAGTTCAGATCATTTATTTTTTGGATTCAATTATTCAATAATTCTAACATTTTTTGTTCAATTTGCTCTTTCTTGTATAGTCCAAAGATCTATGAAGGTTCAATTAAGCTAAATTGGTTCCAACGTAATGAGACTCATTCTATTAAGATTGTACTTATTATGAGAATTTTGTTTGTTTTTGTAAAAGATGAGAATTCTTAGTTATGCAACGATTAACTGTCAAGTTTATGTTATCATGCGATCTTTGTGGTCACGACTTATTTTACTAGTTTTATTTTTGCAAAGCTCATTTTAATTTTTAAGAATCTAGAAAGAAATGGGAATTTTGCTTGCGATATCTTAAGTTGGTTAAACATTTTGGGATACTTAAAGATTTAATAAATCCATTTGATGTCATTCAGCTAACTTCGAAAATAAAAATTCTAGAGATCTTCAGTATAATCGACTTTATTTCCAACTCTGTATTGATATTTTTATCTGGATATCAGAACGAGATGTTTTTCTCAAAAACGTGACATGTTGTTTATTTAAAAATACTCTAATATCATGAGGTTGCGTATCATTTGACTTCAAATGTTGTCCATACTTACTTGAATGACATTTGAGTTTTATTTAAATTGTTCATAATGTTTTTTGAGTTTTGAGTCTTAATTGCTTTTCTGATGAAGTTCATATGAGATTTCAAATCATTTGAAAACAATATTTTAGATCAAAATTAACAAATATTTGATTTACTGCTTCTCTCTTTTTATGATTTACAAAATTGAAACTACCTATTTGACATTAGAACCTATTAAAACTTATTTATTTTTTTTAATAACAGAGTAAGATTAAATTTACGAAATTATGATGCTATTATTTGTTTATTCGCTTAGGGGCCATTCACTTATTACGTAACGCTTTTAGGGGGAGGGGGGGTCTAAGATTTTGTTACGATTCAAACAAGGAAATTTTTTTTATCATACAAATTTTGTTACGAGGGGGGGGGGGTCTAAGAAGTCATTTTTTCGCGTTACGTAATAAGTGAACAGCCCCTTATCTACTTTCGTCGTTCGCAATGACGTTTAACTTTAAGAGGAAGAAAGATCTAAAGATATGCATGAATTATTGAATAATTACAGCAACATGCTTAAACAGGATCGAAAATGACTTAAAATAGGAAATTTTGAGAATTTTTGAAAAATTCATTTTCGAACTTTCATAAACAACATCGAAAAAAATGCGGTAAAATTCAAAATATTTATAGTTTAACTGATAGCGTGCTATCCATAGCCCTTGGTGGAATGTATATAAAATAGATAGGAGCTTTACAAACCATACATCTATCATATTTCTCTGCTTTAGCAAAATTTAATTTGAAATTCCCAGAAATGACAATAATATTATCCTGAATGTTAATTGTGAATTCACAAATTGAGCACATTTATTGATTATCAAAATTAATTATTTTGTTATTAATACAAAAGCCTCAAGCTGTAATAAATTCCAAATTAACTCATTTAATTGTATTTTTGACGAATTGATAATTACTTCTTTCAAATGCACAAACAATCAACATTTCATAATTTACATCAACACTGCCTTATTATGCACACATACAATGAGTTGAAGCCGGTCTCTATTTACTCATTTTTATCTTTATTATTTTTCTTTAAAGGGAGCTAAAGATAAGGAAAAGAAATTCCAAATATGGGATTCTTACAGAATATTCTATACAGCGCACTGGCACTAGCGATAGCATTTAGTTATCAGACTTATCGAGATATATCAAAACCATATCCAATACCGGAATTAGGTAAATATTATATGTGTATAATAAAATATCTCGTTTAACATAAGATTCTCTCCCCTTATCTTATCCTTTTTCTTGTCTACCTCTAAATCTGTTTTTTGAGTTAACCCTAGCGCTAATATTACGCTATGAGAACACATTTCATTCTGTTGCAGAAAATATGAGAATAGAACGAAATCTTTTGCCTACCTATTTGCCAATATTATATTTAAGTATACATAATGCACGCATACCTTTCAGATTTAAATGAATATTGGGGCCGTGGAGATGTGAAAAACTATAAGGAAGATACAACGATTAAACCATTCAAAATTTCATATTCAGCTGAGGTAAGCACACACAAAGAAATTTATAAGCTTATTTTACACATGAATTGAGATTTTGTGAAGGCATTCGGTTGTGTATGGATGCTGGCTGTCTGATAGAATTTACGTTGTATTAGATTTCAAATGAGTAACTTGCTAAGAACCTTAGGATTTAGAATTACGGAATATTTGATCGAAATTTAAGGCTTTTAAAGCTACTAATGGAGATGAATGGAAAGTTTTTATGTTCGTATGAAAAAATCCATGAAAAACTAATTGTGTTGAGTTTTTAAGGATTCAATGAGTTTTCAAAGCATGTATGTATGGAATTATCAAGTTTTAGATGCAAATTTCCTAGCCTTTTAAAAGTTTTTAATGCTTCTGATGTATGAAAAGCATGAATGAACTGATGAATGGAGATTATTTTTAGAAAATCCTCTTGTTTCTGATTTACATCTAAGATTATTGAAATTTCACTTATCATTATTCAAAACATAATATCTCAACTTTAGGGGCCGTTTACTCATGACGTCCATCAAAAAATGAGATTTTCAGACCCCCCTCCCCCCCCCCCCCCCTCTGTCACAAAATTTTCATACAAAAAAAATCTTTTGTATTGAGGTGTCATACAGCTTCAGACCCCCTCTCCCCTAAATGTTGGACGTCATAAGTGAACGACCCCTTATCTATTTTTAGTCTGCGTTAAACTTATTTTCACAACTTAATATAATTTATAAAAAAAGTTATTAAATTTTCACCTAAAAAGGATCTCAAAAGCCAACGTCAAAGTTAAAACCCTTTGCAAATAAATTAAATGATTATAAAAGCGATCTAATTTAAGCACTTCAAAGGGTGAATTCAAAAAAAAGCTTGAAATAATTTTTCGGTCGAATAATTCTTTTAAAAATTCGCTTTCTTTATTGCATTTGAAGTGTCTTTAAACTTGATTTCATCCCCATTTTTTTTTTCTCTTATTTCTCATTCATATTTCAATGAATAACACAGTAATAATGTAATGTTAAGAAGAAATAGGATCGGAAGGTGAAAGATATTTATGAATATTTATTATTAAAACATTCCAATGTCATCCTTTTTTGAGCGCGTTTTGAGAATTCTTGGTGTGAAAAGAGTTCATGAGGTGCTTACTATATCTTTATTGTTGATAAGGTTTAAAGAACGCTTGGGTAAGAAACCGGTAAAATCAGGTACAATTCTATGTTTAAATTTAGTATCAAGGCACACCATACCTGAATGGCTCAACTTGGTCTGAAATCCGGTATCAAGCTGGTATCAGAACCATGCCAGTCATCCCATTTTATTTGATTAAGCAACTTGTGCTACTCGGGAAAGTAATATCTAATGACCGACACAGAGCATGCGGTTCGTGGTATCTCCTGAACAATATCGCACTAGTGTGCCGTGGCACACAGTTTGGACAACATTGTTATAAAAAATCGTAAGATCTTAAATCAAAATGGATTATTTACTTAAAACCTCTTATTTTGTCGTCAAGGGGGAAAGCCTCACCTAACCCCCTACCCCCTCCTAGTGCCTGGTAGAAGCTATAAAACAGAAGTTCAAAATTAAAAGTTAATTTTAAAAGAAATATTGCTTTGCTAATTCCATTATTTCCCCTAGTGTTCCTCACTTACATAAACTCACGAATAAAAGACTAAAAAAAAAAATGAGAAAAAAATTCCAATCTATCCACTTATACCGTTTATATAGGTAATAAAACGTTTAACGGATAAACTTGATGATGCTCCAGCCTTTGCCGAGCCACTCGAAGATACGGCATTTGAATATGGATTTAATACAAAGCATTTGCAAAAGATATTGAATTATTGGAAGGGCCAATATTTACCGAAATGGAATGAACGTGAACAATTTTTAAATCAGTTTCCACAGTTCACCACACAAATTCAAGGGTAAGGATATGAAATATGTTTATGTGAAAAATATGTAATTACGTGAAATTTTTCAAAAACTTTTTGTGCTTCCCACACAGTTTAAATATTCATTACATTCACGTCAAGCCAAAGACAACCGCAAACACAAAAGTTTATCCTCTGATTTTGTTGCACGGATGGCCTGGAACTGTGAGAGAATTTTATGACATCATACCGCTCCTCACAACGCCATCGAAAGATAACATTGCATTTGAGGTTATTGCGCCATCGTTACCAGGATATGGATGGAGCGAGGCTGCATCAAAGAAGGGTTTGGGAGCAGCTAAAATTGCAGTCGTTTTTCAAAACTTGATGAAAAGAATTGGCTTTAAAAAATATTATGTTCAGGGTGAGTTTTATAAATGGGCAATCAAATTTTTTTAAATATTTCTCCTATGCTATCTTTTAAGCTTGATTCACTTAGTTCCGAACTCTTATTTTAATTTTAATTGATTTTTTTACTTTTTTGTGTTTCTTCTTTCGACATCATCATCAATGGACACATTATTTAAAAAATAGGAGGAGATTGGGGTAGTCTCATTGGAACTGACATGGCTGCATTCTTCCCCGAGAATGTTTTAGGTAAAATTAAATTATTGCATAATGTTAAAGGAGGTTTATTGGTTTTTTTGGTTACGTTCAAGAAAAGCTCCAAAACCGAATTCCACACAGCAATTATCCCCCTTTTGCATACTCAATTATATAAATTTGATACACCAATTTACTTCCACTCGTTTTTTTTACTACACAACAGGTTTTCATACAAACATGTGTATGGTGGACTCGCCAATAGCGAATATCAAAACATTTATTGCATCATTTTATCCATCACTCTTTATGGATGCAAAATATGTCGATTGGGTATATCCATTCTTTCCAAAGTTTCTAACATTACTACAAGAGAGTGGATACATGCACATTCAAAGCACAAAACCTGATACAATTGGAGTAGCTCTTACTGGAAATCCAGTCGGTTTGGTAGCGTACATTTTAGAAAAGTTCTCAACATGGACTAATCCTGCATATCGCAACTTAGCTGACGGTGGATTAGAAAAGTACTTTACAATGGACGCACTGCTTGATAATGTCATGATTTATTATCTTACCAACTCAATCACGACATCACAGCGCATTTACAAGGAAGTTTTTTCGTCTGAATTTGCTGATTCATCTATTAATCGTGTTCCGGTGATTGTGCCCTCAGCATGTGCTCATTTCAAATACGAATTAATGCACCAAATTGAATGGGCGCTTCCCGAAAAGTTCGTGAACCTTTTACAGTCAAACTATTTTGAGGATGGAGGACATTTTGCAGCTATGCAACTGCCAAAGATTATGTATAATGATTTTATTGATTTTGTACGTAAAAGCTTGCAGCAAGGCAAGAAAAATGAATAAATTTTTTATAAACTTTAATATTGAAATGATGAAGCTGTGCATGATGAACAGCCACAAAAATGCGGTTTGTAATTTTAATTTAATTTTAAATGTAACAATTTTTTCGAGGAATTTTTATGGGATTAAAAAATCGTGATAAATTGTGGGAAGGGCGCAGCCTTTTAAGCTGGAGGTACTGCGATTCAAACTAATGGAATTGAAATGTGTTTGGTACAAAAAATGTAATCCTATTTTTTAAACCATATGATTCATAAATTTTATTGATTGTTCCAAAAAATTTTAATAAAATGTTTCAATTCATCATTTAAACAATAATTACTAATGAGCTTTCAAACGGATCAGACTTAAATATACCAAATATGTGTAATCTATAAGCAGTTTTAACTGACTATTATATCCATTTTATCCTATTTTGAAGGCTCTTCTGATGATTTCGTAATAGTAAAAAAAAAATCAGAAAAAAGGATAAAATGCTTTTTTTATTTAAAGCTACTTTCGAGGATGCAGTATCTCCATATCCATTCACACATCAAAATGACCATAAACTACACACAGCCCGAAGCTTAAATATCTTGTGTACGAATTTATGTACATTTCATTGATTTTATTGTGATTAAAGCCACATAAATTTTCAATTTTATCATGAAAATTTAAGCTCAATTCTCTCCGAAATCCATTTACAATCACAAGAGTTATTCATCAATTCATTTACCACTATTTCATTGTTAGCCATTTAACCACAATAGAAGATACCAGAGTATAGAAATGCTAGACTTTTTTTATTTCCAAACCATCAAAAAATTTATTTTGGTGAAAAAAAAAACATTTTTCAATGACCACAAATAGGAGTTTCATTTGTGGATGAACAATTGTGCAGTTATTGTATTCTCTATCAAACGTTTGTGTTTTTCGATTGTTCTTCAAGTTAATATGAACAAAAAAAAAATATAACAATAGTTTTTGTGCTAATTCGGAGCTAGTGTTTTGGAGATTTCAAATTTTTCTGATCTCTTTGTTTAAAGTTTTATTGTTTCTAAGGAAGAAAATTCGTTGGTTCCTTTACAGGCTGTGATATTGTTCTACACATAAATTTAAAACTTTGGAAAATGAATTAATATGAACTTAAATTTGCTAAATTTAGAGCAGATCACTAGGAAAAAATTCAGTGGGGGGAGGAAGGAGGGGGGGGGGTTGTTTTAAAAAAATTGAGCTTTTGTTCAAAATAAATAATAAATTACCAAGCACTTACCTAAGCAGGTAAATGCCTTGCTGGTCAAATAAGTAAGGCGTTTGACTCAAATTTGGTATGGTAACTTGAAGGTTGGCGGTTCGAATCCAGTCATTTCCAAATTTGTTCTTTTTCAAAAGTTTAGATCAAGCCATAATTGGACATTTTGGCAACGTTGGATTAAGGAACGGATCAGAAACTTGAAGTGTAGCGCCTGGTGTAACGGGAGAAATAGGAATGAGATTTACAAGATTACCTTATAATAGAATATTGTCAGAACAGACCTGAAATGTATCACGTCACGCTCATAGAAGATTGAAACGAAAGCATGAATTAAATCGAAACCTAGATTTGAAAATTGGTTGCTTGATGCTTCATCACCTATATTGATATGAAATGTATCACTAATCAATATAAAAAGTAAACATGCATAAATATGAATTCTTCCGGACGGTAACGTCGACATATAATTAGGGTGACCATCTGCGTAGTTTTACATATTTTTTTTCGCGAAAATTTCTTAATTCTTAATTCTTAGAGTTTTGTAGCTTTAATTTGCAGGTAATTTACCATTTTCATGCACGCTGATCTCCAATAGACAAAACGAATAAAATTCTATGTTTTAAGTTTGAAACTTACTAAAACTTGGTTTAAAAAGAATTCCTATTCATATGCAAATACCGGAACAACATAGAATTTTTAAATAAAAAAAAACTTCAAAAAAAAAAATCTATACAGAACAGGAAAAACAAAGAAAAATTAGAAAGAAGAAGAAAAAAAGTTTTGAACTGTATCATGTGTGTGCATGTACACATCAAAAGTTCAAAGTTTCATCATTCATAGATAGCAGAAGCAATTGAAATAATAAAGAGAACTAAGCACGTTCTTTACATTTTTTCACTCATTTCCATTATTTAATTCTTTTTGATTCCCAACAAAGTCCAAACAAGTTTTTATGTCTGCAATGTGCAGTGAAAAACCGCATTTGTTAGGAAAACCTCATTGCTACTGTGTACACAGAGCAGAAAATAAAGGAAAAGCAATGCCACAAATTACAGTGGAAGAACAGTGGATAGATTGCTGTGCTTCGATAAGATTCCCTCTTTTTCCTCTTCCATCCCGCTTTAAAATTCAAAACAATTTCATTTTTTCCTCCCTGTTCACATAGAATTATGAAATTGCTTCCGCCCTTTCATTTTTTTCCTATCTTCCCCATGTCTCCTAACAATAGCAACTTGTCAGGTCTACTTAACTTTCGACTTCCTTTTTGGTTTCATTTTCTCGTTATTAAATTGAGTGTTTTTATATCATTTTATGTGGGATATTCGGGACATCACTTTTTAGCGCAATTTTGGAAACTTGTTTGCTTAATAATGCACTCTAATCGTTCGGCTGTTCGGACGATGATAAAAACTTTTGAACCAGACATCGTAGAGAGCTCGGGTTTGTTTGATGAGCTCAGTTCTATCGAGTTATTGTCCGATAGATTAGTTTCAAACCTTAAAACAGTGGATTTATTCTATAATTAATAATTTTAATTTTACGTAAACAGACACGTGTAGAGTGCGTTCAGAAATTTGTTTTAACTTTTCTACCGTTAAAAAATTTGAATTTTGAATAATCATTAAAATTTTTGAATTTTAAAAAGCTGTTAATTCGAAATTCGAAAAAATTGCAAACTGAATTTTTTTAGCCAAGCAGGGAGATGCTTGATGTTTGACAAACAAACAAAAATTCAATAAAATCAGGAATTTCAAAGAATTTAAAAACAAACAATTTTGATGATATAGAAATTCTAATAAAATTGTTCTTGCTTACATGCTTTAAGCTATAAAATTTTATATCTACAGTCTTTAAATAACTTGTTGTTTCCATATGATAGGCAAGCACATTTAACACTGCAAATATGTAATAACAATTCTAAAGCTTTCATACTATTGTAATGAAGGAAATTGAAAACGGGGGAACTGAGTTGTCATGTTATCAATTGACATCATCGATTGAATTTAAATTAATGGCATTTAAAAGTGGAAATTTCTTAAATAAACATCACCTTTATGAAGTCTCATCCTCTTATCAAATGTGTCGTAAAAGCAACAACAAAAAACTTCAAAGCAGATGTCTCAATATCAAAGCTTATAAGTATTGCTTATTGAACTTTTGTTGGATGAAATGCTTCCTCTCCCATAAGCTATTTTGTTTGTGCTTCAGCAATAAACAGAAAGCTTTCTTTACATTTAGCTAAATAAATTGAAAAAAAAGAGAGAAAATTCCTCGCAGGCTTTTATGGTGAAAGCATAGCAAGGAGACAAACACAAGCTTTTAGCTTGAATGTTAAAAAAAATCTTTCAATTTAAAAAACGTTTAATGCGATTTTATCGCGTAAATATTAAAAGAAATAGGAAGATGTGTCGTATAGTCTCTCTCACTGCCGTGAGTCGTGTCGCACAGCAAATAAAATGAAATTGTACTCAAAATTCAATTTATTTTGAGAGTAGATATAAAAAAAATGAAGAGAAATGCACGAAATAAATAAATGCTGTAAACTTTATCGTAATGCGATATTAATAATATTTTATGTCCTTTTTGTGAAAAATAAATTTTCCTTTTTTTTTGGTTTTCTGTCTGCGTTAAAATGTAAACGACACGAGGCCAATTTCTCATGACTTTTTGTGAGTATCTTGAGGATTTGCTTAGGTGTCATTTTGAGAATTATTTATGGAAAATGAGTTTGTTGAGAATTTTTCCTCTTTTCCTTTGATGATTAAGAAATATTCTTGAATTGGACTTTTGGTTCATTTCATTATCATCTTCATCTGCTTATTTACTGGGTTTCATGAAGGTTTGGTCATATCTTATGATTAAGCTTTTATTTATTTTTTAAAAATAAGAATGCTGAACACCAAATTAATTTTGAATTATCGTGGAATAGGGTAAATGACCTTGAAATTTGCGCAAATTCACACAAGAAAATTTCATTTGCTTCAAGCTCTTCGGAGGATTGAAATTGAGCCCTACTAACGATCTTGAAATGCAGGGAATCATTGATATTTTTGTTTTTCTATGGATATAGGAAGCTCTGCTGTGTCAATGCCAAGAAATTTGACTTTCAAGTTTGAACTTTGAAATTTGCGCAGAAAACTTTGAAATTTGCGCAAAAAAACCTTGAAATTTGCGCACTTTTTTGACAGCAATATTGAAACTTGGAAAAAATATTGTTGAAACCATATCCAATTTTAAAATACATTAATCAAAATATAAGGGAAATGATGATGTATATTACCAAATTATATGATTAGATTTAGTTTCGTGAAAATCCGTGAAAGCTTAATGTTCAACAGGACAATCTTAGATGTATTAGGAGTAAATTCCAGCGTGGAAAAAAACACTAGATAAATGGTTTCAAAATAGTTCAAAAGCACATAATAAATTTAAAAAGGAACAAGCAAAATGATGTATCCATAGTAATTCAATTTTAAAATTTAGTATAAAGTCTAAAAGCTATCTTCATTTTATTGCCTTTTTTGGCCGACCACGTTTCCTGATTACTTGAGTTGATGCTTCATGTTTTTCCTTTTTAATATTCATAATTTTGTCAAGCAATTCTTTCTTTTTTTCTCGGTCAATTCATTTTTGAGCTTTCATATCCTCAAGTTCCTTTAATTTTTGAGCAGTTTCCTTCAAATCTTCTGTAGTTTTTGGATCGCCTTATTTGGCTGAATCTATACACCACTTTGCAATTTTGACTTCTTCTTCAGTTGGAAGGACCTTTATTTTTCACTGCGCAAATTTCAAAATTTTTCGTAAAATCTGCGCAAATTTCAAGGTTCAAAAACAAGCCATTTTAAAAATGAATTTTAAAGCAGTTCCAGGTATGATTTTGAATTGGAACCATTTGAAAAATGTTAAGCAATGTCAGATCTACATTTTCTGATACCAAAATTTAATCTATACCAATGCATGCATCTCAAAATCAAAATGTAAAGAAATTTAAGTTTTGTATGGGAGTTTTTGGTAATAAATTATTAAGCTTTCTAGTGCCTTAAGATCACTAAAAATTATGAAAAAACATCTGTGC